AAATATTATAAAACAAAAATAAATATATATATATATATATATAATATTGTTTTATTTCGTTTTACCCGACCGATGTTTTGCACTAAAAATTCAGTATATTTTATAATTTTTAAATTCAAATTTTTGGAATAAAATATTAATTTTTGCTTTAAATCTAGAGTTCATATATCATTCTTTAAAAACAGCACACCATGTATCAATACATATCAGAATATATTAAATATTGAATTTACGTTTCCTACGCTTCTTTGTGTTTACATAGACATACAGTAATGTTAATGATAAATGATGTTTGAATAAAAAAGCTAGTGTTTCTCTTGAAAATTGCTTATATTTTCGTACTATCGAAGTATTCGATCTAATGAAGCATTTTCTACAGGATGCTTGTAATATACTTTATTATGCAATTTTCTTTAGAATGTATCTACCGCGCAAAAAAAGAGGTTAATGAAATCAGTTGTCAATTAGTTGTAATGCGTGTAATACGATGGCAGTTTTAAAAAATCAGTACAGGAATATCGTAAACAACAACCAAATAAATAATTTATTTTACAGTTGGATTTTTCCATTAATAAACAAAGGAAGAAAGCGAATTTTGAATGAAGAAGATTTATATGAAGCTTCTAAATATCATACTTCGGAGTATCTTGGGAACCAACTTGAGAAGTAAGTTAATTTTCAGTATTGAAATACAGTAAATGCTCATTAGTCTGTTCCTGTACACAATTAGAATGATATCAAATTATTAAAAAGGCGAAAATAATGAATTGTTTAGTATGAAATAGAAATTGAATAAGTTATTTAAGACTGACGCTGTGTCGTTTGTATAACACATTTAGCTGCATACTTTTGATTTGATTACGACTGTAATTTAGTTACTCTGAAGATGGTAAAACACATAAATGTATTGTGTTAGGTTCTCGTGCAAGTTACATGTAGTAATGTGCATGGCTGGATGTCTTGCACAGTTTTCTCTTGATTAGGGATGTCTCGATATCCATACTTTTTTTTGGGTATTCGATCTCGTATCGTTATATTTTTCAGAGACAAGTAATGATTGCTCCAAATGGGATTTTGCAGCCCAATTAGAAACTGAAATGTTATATTAAACTACTTTTGGTTAAGTTAAACTTATAAAAAAGTATCAATGTCCAAAAATCAATAAACGTATTAGGTGAAATTTAATTTTCAGAATCTACACTCCACTTGTTCTATGTTTACGATCGATCGTGCCCAACACGAACAACACAAAATTTTGAAATTTCCAACAGAAGACAGTGAGGTAATGTGTAAATGTGAAATCTTGATTCCTCGTGGAAAGTTGACTAATTCGTTGTTAGAATTTTTCCAATCGACAATGGGTAATTTATTACGGTAGTGTGAGAGGCTAGCCGGGGATACTGAGTAGTTAAGACTCGTGTACCACTTAATCGGCAATTATTCTTTTGAATAGTCCTCTGTTTAGAAGGATGGTTTTCTATTCAAAGAAAATCGAAGGAGAAAGGACTTAGTTTGAATGTTAAATTAAAGCGGGATTAGAGGATCGCGTAATCACCCTTTCTCTCGTCAGGATTCCCGACACCAGTTAATCAGTTATTTTACACGCGGATTAACACGCGTTATACCTAACTTGTTAGTAAGAAGAGCGAAAAAGTTTAAATGAGAATGAGTATGAATAGCCAATATTAACCAAACCATTTTATAAAACAAGTAAAAACATTTAATAAATNTTTTTCTTTTTTAAATATTAAAAGCTTTTACACAATTTTTGTATCTTAATATTAAAAAAAATTATAAATAGAAAAAGTGATTGCTTGATAAAAATATTCATTGATGACGAGGGAATGATGATATCTTTCGATAGGAAAGCAATTTCAATTCATCGAATCATTGATGCGGAATAATTCCAATATCATATTCCCCACAAATTCGCCGAAAGGAAGAAAAAAATCAAAATATAAAAATATAACTAAAAATAATCAATACTAGAATTGAATGAATATCATACAGGGTAAACAATGCACTCAACAAAATATTGATTGTATCAAAATATAAAAATATAAAAAAGAATGAATCAAAAGCTAATCCTAATTCTAAATCTTAACCTAAGATTATTTCTAAACCTAACGCGTGAGAGACAGTTCACATCGATCTAACGTATATTATTTTCTCCAGGTCTTTCGTATCTTTTCTGTATCTATATGAGATTCTTCTTCCTTTTTTGATTATTTGTCTTCTTATATTTTCTATGAAAGTTCTTTTAAATCTTCTCTTTTAAAAATCTTGTATACTTCGAATGTAGTACTATATAACTATATTTTTATGACTTATTTTTGGATTCGTAAAACAGCCTTGTATGACGATACTTTTCGTATGTTGGTATCTTTCTTCGTATGGCAAACCTCTTTCCAACAGACTGCTTTTATCGTATGTCAGACTTTCTTCGTGTGGCAACCTTTTTCCAACGAACTGCCTTTTTACTTTCTCGAATGTCAAACTTCTTCGTGTGGCAATACCTCTTTTTGACAAACTGCCTTCGAATGGCGGGAAAATGTCCCTTTTATCTGCTCTCCAGTAACGTGTGCAAAACTCGACTTATCATGAGTTGGACTGGGAAATAAAATCAACTTCCTTTCAAATTCGAAAGTTCCGTTTTTTTTGTAAAATTCGTTGAAGTTTAAAAATATTAATTTTTCTTAATTTTCTAATCTTTTCTTCAACTTGTTACTTTCATTAAAATGATACTCCCTTGAATCTCCATATTCTCACAGTAGTAATCGCTCACTTTGTCTTTTACTTTTTTTTGTACCATCTCTAATCGAAAGTACACCAATCAAAATAATTACGGTATCAATAATGTTTTATAATATTTATATTTATGTAAATATTATAAAACAAAAAATAATTCTATATATATATATATATATATATATATATATATAATATTGTTTTATTTCGTTTTACCCGACCGATGTTTTGCACTAAAAATTCAGTATATTTTATAATTTTTAAATTCAAATTTTTGGAATAAAATATTAATTTTTGCTTTAAATCTAGAGTTCATATATCATTCTTTAAAAACAGCACACCATGTATCAATACATATCAGAATATATTAAATATTGAATTTACGTTTCCTACGCTTCTTTGTGTTTACATAGACATACAGTAATGTTAATGATAAATGATGTTTGAATAAAAAAGCTAGTGTTTCTCTTGAAAATTGCTTATATTTTCGTACTATCGAAGTATTCGATCTAATGAAGCATTTTCTACAGGATGCTTGTAATATACTTTATTATGCAATTTTCTTTAGAATGTATCTACCGCGCAAAAAAAGAGGTTAATGAAATCAGTTGTCAATTAGTTGTAATGCGTGTAATACGATGGCAGTTTTAAAAAATCAGTACAGGAATATCGTAAACAACAACCAAATAAATAATTTATTTTACAGTTGGATTTTTCCATTAATAAACAAAGGAAGAAAGCGAATTTTGAATGAAGAAGATTTATATGAAGCTTCTAAATATCATACTTCGGAGTATCTTGGGAACCAACTTGAGAAGTAAGTTAATTTTCAGTATTGAAATACAGTAAATGCTCATTAGTCTGTTCCTGTACACAATTAGAATGATATCAAATTATTAAAAAGGCGAAAATAATGAATTGTTTAGTATGAAATAGAAATTGAATAAGTTATTTAAGACTGACGCTGTGTCGTTTGTATAACACATTTAGCTGCATACTTTTGATTTGATTACGACTGTAATTTAGTTACTCTGAAGATGGTAAAACACATAAATGTATTGTGTTAGGTTCTCGTGCAAGTTACATGTAGTAATGTGCATGGCTGGATGTCTTGCACAGTTTTCTCTTGATTAGGGATGTCTCGATATCCATACTTTTTTTTGGGTATTCGATCTCGTATCGTTATATTTTTCAGAGACAAGTAATGATTGCTCCAAATGGGATTTTGCAGCCCAATTAGAAACTGAAATGTTATATTAAACTACTTTTGGTTAAGTTAAACTTATAAAAAAGTATCAATGTCCAAAAATCAATAAACGTATTAGGTGAAATTTAATTTTCAGAATCTACACATAGAGTTCACATTGCTATTTATAAATATATATACTGTATATATATATATATATATATAGCTAAATATTATGTAGTACTTTTCTGTTAATTAACTTGGATCATTGGCGACGTTTAAAACGAAATAGAGTTTGCATATACTTGTTTGCACTGACATTTGACATTTGTAAATTTTCAACATAAGTAAAAAGTTTCAATATAAAGACACTAACGATTTTTTATCCACTCCTATCACATGTATAGTAGCAGGCCGTTAACAGGATCGTACAGTATAGTACATTTGTGTACTGGTACAATGTCTTTGTGTACATAAGACATTGTACCTGTACAGACCAACGCACCCACTTCTGAGCCAGATAACAATGATTCAATTTTCTGCAGTAAGCGATAAAATATGATTTGCTGCTCCGGAGCTCACTCGTCATTTATTCTAATAGCAAGATTTCCAGTTTCGATACCCGATGCCGATACTGATCGGTCTCGATATTTAAAAACCGATTCGGTATTGATAGTTATGTGGTATCGTGGCATCTCTAGTGCTGATTGTAGATCAGGGAGTTTAGCTCATTATGTATCCAATTATCAGTTAGGCTAATGTTGCACGAGCGTGAAAACGACAGACATGTTAACATTGTTTCCAGTAAGTACCAGGTCGGAATCGTTTTTGCCGAAAGATTACAGTATTCAAATATTCTAAAAAACAAACACGGATATTAGTAAAACGATCGTACAAAATTGTGATAAAACAGAATTCAGAAAAACTTCGTTTTGAACTTTATAAAAATAGAAATAAGAAAAAAAAAGTTGATTACGATCAAAAAGACATATTCAATATTGTCTACGATTGAGCCATACGTCATGGATCTCACAGATTTTTTGTTGTTTCTAAATATTTCTGTACGTAAAAAAAAACAACGCATCAGAGTCTACGAGATCCATGTTGATATATACGCGTATAAAATGAACCTTTATGCAAATGTGCTCTGTGGAAAAAAAAGTGCTCGTGTGACCACGACCTTTTGGTCAGTTAATTTTCACGTCCATAAATTGAAATATAGCATCTGTAGGTTTTTGTGTTCGTCTGACATTAACCTAAGCATTGCCGATTAGTCGCATGATCAAACATTAGTTGATATTCGAGACATATCAGATGATTAATTAATAAATTCTATTTGTTAATATTAATTTTACTGTTATTAATTATTATTATTAATCAATTACTAATTATTATTTATTAGTATTATTATTAATTTATTATTAATATACTTTATTGTTAATATTAATAATTTTTTTATAAAACAACAGTTTAAAAAAGCAATATATATAAAGCTAATTTACATAACTTCAAAAGTGTTGATTAAGTTATTGTTTTCGATTGTTTAGTTTTATTGCATTTTTTCAGAGAGTGGAACAAGGAACTCCAGAAGAAGAAATCAAGTATACTGAAAGCTGTATTAAGATTTGTTGGATGGAAATGTTTGATAATATTTTTAATGTTACTCATTCAGGTACTATGACAACTAATCTGAAATACAAAATGCATGTGTTAATATAATTCAAATTAAGGATATTAATATTTTTTTTTCAGGAAACAGTGTTAGTTGCAGGCCAAGCATACTTCTTGGGATTAACAATACATTATTTGGACAGCACACAGGAATTCAGTCCATACAATATTTATGTAGCACTTGCAGGATTTTTTGTCATAACTGCGATTTATGTGTTTACATATTCCACAAGTTACTTTATGACAGAATTATATGGAATAAAATTGAAAGTAGCTTTTTGCAGTGTTATATATAAGAAAGTGAGTACGAAATATAATATATTATGAAAGTAAATTTATAATTATATTACAATAATAATAAACAACGCTATTTGCCTGCGACTGAAAATTAGACAGAATTAGATAACCCAACAAATAGGGTATAACGTTTTGCAGGGCTTATCACACCAAGGCCGACTGAAAGAAGGACCAGAACTTTTATAAAAAAGGTGGTCTTTAATAATCACTTATCAAACTTAGGTAAGTATGCATTTCGGGTACAAGGACCCCTCATCAGCTTACAAACACATGGCAACAACGTCACAAATACAAAACCAATAACCTGTCAATACACCGGGATAACCCACGTATGCAGTGCACCGCATTTACAATTTCTCAATGTAACACGTACACTAAACTAAATTATCAAGTATAAATCAGAATACAGTGACCATATGGTATAACATATTAACTCCACCAGTAAATGTCTTAGTTTCTCTTACATTTTCCAAATTCTGGTAGACGGTTACACTATTAATAATAAATATTGTTAGGTATATTAAACCATAAATAAAAGGGAGGTTAACATTGAACTTACTCTTATTAAACCAATTGGTCACCAGATTTTAACAGAACAAAATACATCTGATCTATAAGCCATTGTGAAGTCAACTGCACTGACCATCTGCATTTTACAAGGTGATGTGCCTATACTCTTACATCTGTTCAGCATCTGTTTCAAGGTTAAGTGTAAACAATGTCAATCCACCTCTCATGTAGCTTCAGTCTCGTGTTGTTATTAATTCTGATGTCTTCCTGTATCTTTAGAATTTCTAGGTGTTCCTGTAGTCTTCTTTTTAGTTGATTGTATTCTGTCATAATACACTTGATGCTGTCTTTTAAAATTTCACACCCTTCAGTGTTGCAATGTTGTGCCACTGATGATGATATCAAATTATTTTTGATGGCATATATATGTTCTTTAATTCTTGTCTTTAATTTTCTACCAGTTTCCCTTACATATCTTTTTTTATGTGAACAACTGCAATCCAATAAATAAACTACATTATTTTTTTCATTATTTACACATTATCATTATGTTCATTGTTACCATGTTTACTGAGTAACAATTTTGCTATGGTGCTTGTGTGGTTTGGTACTAAAGTAATATCTAGTTTTTTTAATTCATTATTTAATTTTTCAAAAACACCAAAAACATATTCTATTTTTAGGTACACAGTCTTAACTTCTATTGGTTGTCTATTTAACGGTGTATTTTTCCTTTTGTCTTTACATGTTTCTAACCACTTAACCAATAATGTTCTAGGGTAATTATTTAGGCTGGTTGTTTATTTTTGGTATATAAGTAGTTATTATTAACATATTACAATAGTATCTAGCTTCGCTTTATCTCTACAAACATCATTTTGCCATTATACGATTGACAATTCTGATGCTTATTTTCAAATTGAAAAAAATGGCTCTTTTTGATATTTATAATTACGCGTAAAATTACACATTGCAAACTACAGTATTTATATTATAAGTTAACGTGTCAAATAGGATCATATATGTACAATAGGAACAATACACTTTAATTAAAAGTTTTGTCTACAAACGAACACATAACTTTATTTCTGTACTTACAGAAGGAGTAGAGTGCATATGCATGACGAACGAAATGATACGATTATATCACGTGATTGCAAATAACCCTTTGCTCACATTGTAAATATCCTCCTTAATTCATTTGCTGAGGTTTCAAATGGTGACACCTACTAACTCATTGTTCACACCTAATTGATCATTTTTGTATGGGATCGTATACACGGTCATCCTTCTTGAACCTATCCTTTTCATTCCTGAAAAAGTTATATATCGTGAGAGCCCTTTTGTACAGTATATTGTGTTTCTGTGTTCCACAATCTCCTTCATAATAGTGGACATTCCTCTTCTATATGTGAACGTAGTAACACTGTTGATCACAGTTTTCTTCTCTGTTTTATTACTAGAATGAGGATAAAAACTAATCAATCACTCACTCAATGACTTTTTCTTTAAATCCCAATATCGTAGCGACTCTCTAATCCTATACAACTTCTATTACCGACGCAAAAGTTAGAGGGGAAGTAATGTATAGAGAGGGTCGTCAGTTGGCTTGATGTATACCTTAGTTCTTATAGAACCGTTATTGAATACAATGTTAATGTCAAAAAATGCACGCTTGTTAAATTAATTTGTTTCAATTTAAACGACACTAAACGCTGATTGAACCCTGATGGCTTTTCCTAAGGATATGGAGCTGCTACGGATTCTGGTATGTTTGCAGTCATTCTTCAGCTCTGAACAAAAAATATACAACAAAAAAAAAGATAAACCGTGTATGGGCAGCCCGATGCACGGCTTACAGTGTGAGTCGTTTTATGGAAACTGGAGCAGAGTACTACTAACAATTTCAGAGATGAAATAATCTACATATATAACCCGTTGAACTGGTATCCGTCCGCGTAACGGTATGCCAAAACCGGGCACTAGAGGCGCCCTAGCGAAGATTTTAAATTAAGAATAAATTATTTTATTTGTAATAGGAATTTATTATTGCTATGAATTTATTATTTATACCACGGAATGGTATAAATAATTATTATATGCATTGCCTTGCCTTATTATATACTTTTATTATCCCTGCGCCTTACGTTTACAACATCCCGTGACTCAGTGAACGTCGCGCATTGACTCACGGAAAATTTGTTGAAAGATTTAAAAACGAGGTTTACAAGCGAAGGTAAATAAACAAATTAAACTATTTTAAAGTATTTATAGAACGTTTAATAGGTAAAAATATAGATCCGTATGACTCGATTGGGACGGTAAGATTTATCTTTTGAATGAAGGGGTGGCGACCCCTCCTCTGTGCGAACAATAAATGTCTAATAAACCATACCCCTACGCGCGACCCTTCCCGAGATATAGCCCTCCGAAAATTATTTTACCGGTGACGTGACCACATGTTTGCCACAATTTACCCTGCGAATGAGCGGGTCGGCGACCACCCGAGTGTGCGCGAGCGCGCGTTAATTTTTTTTTCGCGCGGTAAGTTCCCTTTTGACCACGGTGTCACGTGACTGGAAATGATGTAGCAAATTTTCAAAGACTTATATCTCGTGAAGGGTCGCGAGTAGTAATATGGTTCCTTTGACTTTATTGTTCGCACATTGGGGCTACAGTTTGGGAGGTTGCCACCCCTTCATTCGGAGGGTAATCTTACCATTAGGTCTTTAACGGAGTTGTAGAGCAAATTTATAGGAACAAAAAAGTCAAATGAACCGAGCATCATAGTAATTTGTAAAAAACGCACACTAGGGGGCGTCCCGGGCTACTAGTCTTATATAAACGATATGTGGATGATGTATTCATTTTATGGAGGAAAATACATTTTTTGAATGAGATAAATTACAATAAGACAGGTTTAAAGTTTTAATTGGAACAACTGAATTCAGCAAGCATCCATTTTTTAGACATTGACATTGTACTCAATAATGATTCTATAAGAACGAAGGTATACATCAAGCCAACTGTCGACCCACTATACATTTCTTCCTCCTGCAACGATTGAATACTTATAAACTTTCAGCACTTAGAGTCTTAATTACAAAAACATTCCATTATTGCTTGATCGTTTGCGACAGGTTACAGACTCTAGTCTTAATTTCTCACTAAATTTTCTTAGAATCCACACACCATTAAGATGTAATCAGAGACAACTGCTGCGCACCAAACAACTTTTCACTGTTGAATCATTAACAATTTATTTTATGTTGTCAAAGTGGATAATAACCTATAGAAATCACCTTTTTTCCAATAATGTTTAAGCAATTGGAAGGAATATCTCGAAGTAATCAAATTACGTAGCTTATATGTTAGATATGTTAAATTTCATTCAACATTACAGTTTAAGTATACAGTGGGCGATCGATTAACGAACAATTTAGATAGCGAACACTTTCGCGAAAGATTTTTATGTACGAACAACAAACACGTGATCGGATTAACGAACACCTCACAGAACAAACACAAGAAGGAACGAGGTAAAATAATGAATACCGATTGGTCTTCCCTTGTCTTCGGACAACAATTCGAAACTTTTCGGAGCGCGGGAAACGTCAACATTGACGCTCAACTCAGTATATACTGATCGGATAGTATTCCTCCGAATTTTGAAACTCTCGTAATTTCAGCTTTTTATTTTTTTGAAGAAACAATTTTTTTATAGTATTAGCAAGATTGTCAGGCAAGGCACTCTTTGAAGTTTTATATCGGTTTTTGTTTTCGAAACGTGAGAGTATAATAGCAAAGGTAGAGAGTGAGAAGATATCTGATGTCTGTTGATGCTGGGCAGTATGACACGAACAGGTCTACAGTAGGCCACAGTTCAATCTTATCCAAGAGAAATACTGAACACTCAAGTAGCTAAAAAAGTAACAAAAATCACATCTCAGAAATAAAAAAAACATTGAAGAGCTTATAATGGAATTTGAAACGGATCTGACGACAGAAGAACGCGAAGAAACTCGGAGAATGTTATTTTCTGAAAAAGAGAATTAATGTCGATATCTGCTATTAAATGTTTTTTGAAGAAGTGGGATGATGTCAGAATGAGGGTCTTAGAATGGCATTCAAGCCAGGTTGAGGATCTCTACAATTACAGTGCTATTAATTACTTCCGAAAAATGAAGAAGAGAGAAAAGCAATCGACGTTAGACAAATTCTTTAACCTTCACACAAAAAAACATGACTAATAAAAATGCAAGACTATGTATACAGTATATGTATTTATATTAAAACATATAAATGAACATAGCAAGAAAGTATATGTACTATTTTTTGGGGAGTCTCAAGAACGAATTAATCAAATTCCCATATAAACCTATGGTAAGTGGATAATCGGTTAACGAACAATTCGGATAGCGAATAAAGTCTTGAAACGGATTATTTTCGATCACCCACTGTACTTTAATATATCAAATATGTTATGTATTTTTAATTATAAAAATTTGAATGTCGCTTATTGCAAAGGGTATAACGAAGTTAAAGGTAAGAAAGAACTACGGAATTTAATGTGTAAATTTTTCTATAAACAATTATTCTAAAAGAATGTACAGGAGTCGTGAAAATCACAGAATTTAATTACATTTCATACCTAATAATAAGGTTTCTTTTTAATTAAGTATGGCAAATATACATGGTAACACCATTGGAATTTTAAAAAATTTAGTATCATTTAGACCAGGGATGGCAAACCTATGGCACACGTGCCATAGATGGCACGAAAGAAAATTTTAATGGCACGCACAAAAGTATTATTTATTTTTATTAATCATANAAAATGAACAAAAATGTATCATGTGATTTGCTTCAGCAGTTTCTGGATTATATAGTCCAGGGATGGTGAACCTATGGCACAAAAGAAAATTTTGATGGCACACACAAAAAATATGATTTTTTTTATTAATCATAATGAAATTTTATTTTATAAATTATAAAAATGAATTAGAATTCAACAATCCATACTTTAAAAATAATTTATAATTTAAATTTATAGTTCTGAATATCTACCAACTATAAAATATCATTTTGTGATTTGATCGATGCTCTCCTGTGCTCATGCGTATTAATTTGCTCTGTCATGAAAACAGACTGTATTACCAATGAGTCTTCAGTCTTTGTAATTCCAAGCGTTTGTATATGTCATTTCAAAACTTATAACATTGACACGTTAAATATAACTATTTACAACACTACGGTTTTATTTTAAGGTAATTATTGCATTTATGCATAAATTTTAAATTTAAATATAATTTTTTATATTATTGTTTTATAATTTTTTATTATGGCTAGTTCAAGGAAAAAATCGAAATTATCAAACACAGGTAGTAGCAGAGAATTTCAAATTTGGTGGACCGATAGGTACGGTATGATTAATAAGGACAGTAAAGCTATTTGCATTTTATTTTCAGGAACGGTGGTTTGTAGAACATTATCATTAAAGCCACATTATGAAACCAATCGCAAATCTGTTTTCAATTGAAGTGAAAAAGAGCAAAAGGATTATATATCACGTGTTTTCAAAAATAAAAATGTACAAGCTACGTCCTTAATAAAATATATTGGAACTCAATCAGACACTACTGCTGCTAGTTATCAAGCGTCAAAAGCTATTGCTCAATACGAGAAAACTTTTAATGACGTTCATTTTTAAAGGAAGCTTGGTTGCAATGTGCACCTTATTTATTCGAAGATTTCGAAAATAAAGAAAAAATTATCCAAAGAATTAAAGATATACCATTAGCTAAGAATACACTAAAAGAGAGGATTTTGGGAGTGGCGGAAAATGTAAGCTTTCACAAAGCTTTTAACCACAAATAGAATTGTTTAATAAAAATTTTTCTTTTTTTGTTTATTAAATTATAATAATTTTTTTCTCGAGAGTGAAAGGAGAAGAAAAAACATAAAATAAAAAATAAAAAAGCAAAAAAGAAAAAAATACAAGAATCATAATTTATGCTAGACAATTTCAGTGTGGCACTTTAGTAATTTAATAAAGATTATTTATAAATTAATGGCACGGATAATGAAAAAGGTTCGCCATCTCTGATTTAGACGATTTGCATTTACATTCTTGATGCCAAACTTATTTACATACTTGCTTCAAATATACTTTATCAAGCTTATTACAAATACGTATAGATTAAATTACGTGGCTCATTCAGTACAATTTAGATAATATTTCAACTGAATTTACACACAAATCAATGTCATTGATGAACAAATACATCTGTTGTTTATTCATTGCATACTTTATGCGATATCGATGATTCAGACTCTACCTACTCTACACTATAATACTAGTTACAGAATGAAGAAAATAATGAATATTTATTCGAATAAACAATTATAGATTATAAAAGAAAATTTAATAATCTATATATTTGCTTATTCAAAGGCTTATTAAATATTATAATTTATAATTTTATTGAAACAGAACAATACGAAAAATACTTTTTTGTATAAAATCTTTTTTCAGGCAATTAAGTTAAGTTCCTCTTCTCTAGAGAAATCTAATATAGGACAAATGGTGAATCTTCTAGCAACTGACGTCAGCAAATTTCATAATGTAAGTTGAAAATAATTTATTAAAAGCATTATATTTACTGTATTAATACTTTTATGTGGGGTAAATCACATCACTTAACAATACACGCATTTTTTACATATATTATATACTTATCTTCTATAAGTCGTATATCGAGTTAAAATCAACATATACAGTCGACCCCCCCTATAAGACAGCAGATACGTTCCATTCTTTGGGAATCCGATTTCTTACGAGTCTTTGCCAATCACAGCCCGACACATGTGAAATTCACGGATTACAGCTGTTTGAAATGTTTTCTTACATAAAATTAAACAATTCTAGACTAATCCGACTCAACATTTCCAAAATACGTATATTTTTTTTCGAAATAATCCGTATAAACTACGCTATAAACAAAAAATTGTAAGATTACTTACCGAGTGTGCACCATTCGACATCGCCATTGCTCAAGATTGTTTTTGTCGTGAAGCAGCACACCAAACGCGGCCGATTTCTGATAACTTATTTTTCTGCGAAAACTTCGTTGAACTTTGGAGACATCATTAATATAAATAATTTTAATCGCTGTTGAATAAGAAATGTTTCTTTCACAAGAAATGTATAAAATTACAGTACTGTATTAGACTTACGGTACCTAATTTACATACTGTACAGACGATAGTT